GGGAGCCCGCGCTGCGGTTTCTCCTACCCGCGATCAGGTCCGGTGCTTGAGCTGTCTACTTCTGAGGAAGCGGGACGTGCTCAGCATCGATGCGGACGACCCGTGATCTCAGCACGCCATCACGCGGCCTGGTTTATGAGGAGGCTGGTGGAGGTTGTGAACACGCGCTGTGGCCAGACTAAAACATCAGCTGGCCACAACATGAGCAGGAAACGCAAGTCACCAGTAAAAATGGACGAGCGTTACCTGCAGCGCAGGTCACAGCCTCACCGCCGGGGTCTGCCCGTTTTTCCCTGATCTCCATAAAGAGATCTCGAGAACGTGGGAAAAGACCGCATTCGTCCCGTATTTCGAGTCCCAATGTAATAGATTACAGCAATGTTATGGGGGCTCGAGATATGGGATATGGGAAGATGCCGAAGGTGGAGGAGGCTTTAGCGAGCTATCTCTCTCCCGAATCGGCGTCTTCCCTAAAGACCCCGGTGTTGCCTAGTAAGCCCTGCAGAGAGACATCTGCATTGGTGGGCAGGGCTTACATGGCGCGGGTCGGGCTGGTTCGTGTCTGCACTCAATGGCGATTTTGCAGGCATACCAGGCCGACCTCCTGAAAGATTTGGATGAGGGGGAGGGGCCTACTCCTGAAGATGTCGCGGAGTTGAGGAAGGCCGCAGATTTGTCTCTCCGGGCCACTAGGGAAGCGGCCAGCGCTATTGGCCGCTCTATGGCGGCCATGGTGGCCACGGAGAGGCATCTGTGGCTGAACTTATCCGGTATTAAAGAAAAGGATAGGTCCTTCCTGCTGGATGCGCCGCTTTCGGCTTCTGGCCTGTTCGGCGACGCCGTTAATTCGGTTGTCGACAGGTTTCAGGAGTCGAGAAAACAATCTGCGGCGTTCCAGCAGTACCTCCCCCGGAAAGCGAAGGCCAAATCTAGTAGGGGGGGCAAAGCAATCAGCCCCAGCCATCAGCCAGCTCCTCCCACAGGGCAGAGCAGAAGGAGAGCGTTTCCTCTAGAGCCCCCCCTCCGGGGTCTTGGCAACAGAGGAAACGCTCCCAAAAACCGAAGTCCTCCAGCCAGAGGGGCGACCTGAGGGACGTCATTCAGGCTAAGAGGACTTCGGAAAAGAGGTCCTAGCCAAGGCAGGACTTCAGAGGGCTGCCCCCTCCGCAGTGAGACAACCGAGGTTGTTCTCACAACGGGGCCCTCTAGGAAAAGATGCAGGTCCGCCGTTAACAGCGCTTCGGGCCGCATCAATTTCCAGCGAAAAGACACCAGAGGCCAGCCTCGAGAGGCTGGTACCCTTAGCAGATTTTGTAGAGGGATGGTATCATCTTCCCAACATATCTCCATGGGTCCTGCAGATAATACGAGTTGGGTACAGACTGCAGTTCGCGCACCGCCCCCCCAAGTTCTCTGGGGTGGTGCTCACTGCGGTGGTCCCAGAGCAGGCTCAGGTGTTGGAACAAGAAGTACAGACTCTGCTGTCGAAAGGAGCCATAGAACGTGTTCTTCCGGTAGACAGGGAGTCCGGGTTTTACAGCCGGTACTTTATAGTTCCAAAGAAGGATGGGGGGTTAAGGCCAATTTTGGATCTCAGGGTGTTGAACCGGTCTCTGAGAAGGTTCAAATTCAGAATGTTGACCATTCCAACAATCGTGAGTCAAATCAGATCCGAGGACTGGTTTGTCACGATAGATCTGAAAGACGCCTATTTTCACATCTCCATCCTTCCTTGTCACAGGAGGTACCTGAGGTTCGCTTTCGGGGGCGAAGCATACCAATATCGGGTTCTTCCGTTCGGCCTAGCACTCTCTCCCCGCACATTTACCAAGTGTATGGACGTGGCCCTTGCTCCACTGAGACTTCAGGGGATTCGCGTATTGAATTATCTCGACGACTGGCTTATTTTGGCCCAGTCTCGGGAGATGGCAGTTCGGCATCGAGATGTCGTTCTTGGCCATATTCAAAAATTGGGGTTAAGACTCAATTTGAAGAAGAGTGTGCTAGAACCGTCCCAGGGCACGACCTTTTTGGGAGTCGTGTGGAACTCGATTACAATGCAGGCACGTATGTCTCCCGCACGTATCGAGTCAATTCTGGCGATGGTGTCCAGGGTGAGGCTAGGTCAGGCCGTCACTGTGAAACACTTTCAAAGGATGCTGGGCCTCATGGCAGCGGCATCCAACATTATTCCTCTGGGCCTCCTTCACATGAGGCCCCTCCAGTGGTGGTTGAAGACCAAGGGGTTCTCACCCAAAGGAAATCCGTTCCGTATGATCAGAGTAACGCGCAAGTGCCTTCAGTCTCTGCAAATATGGAAGAAGCCTTGGTTCCTATCCCAAGGGCCAGTGTTGGGGGTGTCATGTCGCCGGGAAACCGTTTCGACAGACGCCTCCCTTACGGGCTGGGGCGCGGTCATGGACGGCCGCTTTACCAGGGGTCTGTGGCAGGACCATCATCGCACTGGCATATAAATTGCCTGGAGATGATGGCGGTATTCAAGGCTTTGAGGAGCTTCCTCCCAGACATCGAGGGTCGCCACGTCCTTATACGGACAGACAATACGTCAGTGGTGGCCTATCTGAACCGACAGGGGGGACTCAGATCGCGCCCTCTGTGCAAACTGGCGCATCAGATTATCCTTTGGTCCCAGGGAAAGATATTGTTAATAAGGGCAATGTATATCCCAGGGGTTCAGAATCGGGGAGCAGACATCCTGTCGAGGCAGGGGCTGAGGCCCGGGGAATGGAGACTTCATCCGGATGTGGTGAAGTCGATATGGGAGAGGTTCGGACCGATGGAAGTGGATCTGTTTGCGTCTCGAGAGACGTCCCACTGTCCACTTTGGTTCTCCCTCTCACATCCAGCCCCACTGGGGTTGGATGCCATGGTACAGGCTTGGCCGAGGCTTCGCCTGTATGCTTTCCCCCCGATCGCTCTGCTCCCAGGGGTCCTGGAGAGGGTCCGTCAAGAGGGCATCAGTCTACTTCTGGTTGCCCCGAGATGGCCGACACGAGTATGGTTCTCGGATATAATATCACTCCTCATAGCTCCGCCATGGCCGATTCCTCTGAGGAGGGATCTATTGTCTCAGGCGGAGGGCACAATCTTCCACCCTCGCCCAGAGTTGTGGAAGCTGTGGGTCTGGCCTCTGAGGGGGTTCAGTACCTAAATGCTGGCTTATCAGCTGAGGTGGTTGAAACCATACTTAGCTCTAGGGCCCCATCTACCAGGAGATTATATGGCCTCAAGTGGAAGGTGTTTCACACTTGGTGTGGAGAACGAAGGTTGGATCCAGTAAACTGCCCAGTGGCTTCAGTTCTGGAATTCCTTCAGGATCGTTTCTCTGCGGGTCTCTCCCCGTCCACTCTTAAGGTGTACGTGGCTGCCGTTTCGGCTTTCCACGCGCCAGTAGATGGTGGACCTCTGGGGAGGCACCAGTTGGTCATTAGGTTTCTCCGTGGTGCTTGGAGGATGAGGCCGGCGATCAGGTCCAGGGTGCCTGCCTGGGATCTGGCAATAGTTCTGGAAGGGTTGTCCCTCGCTCCCTTCGAACCTTTAGAGTCGGCTTCGCCTAAGGACTTAACGTTGAAAATGGTCTTTCTCTTAGCGATTACCTCTCTTAAGAGGGTGGGAGATCTCCAGGCCCTGGCGGTAACGCCAGCTTGCTTGGAGTTTGCCCCTGGCAAAGTAAAGGCCTTTTTGCACCCGAGTCCGGGCTACGTGCCTAAAGTTCCTTCGAGTACGGCTCGCTCTGTAGTCCTTCAGGCATTCCATCCTCCACCTCATGTGTCGGCGGGAGAAGAGAGGCTTCACTTGCTCTGCCCCGTCAGAGCTTTGAGTGTATACTTGGAAAAGTCTGCTTCTTGGAGAAGATCTGACCAGTTGTTAGTATGCTTTGGGTCACCTAAGAGGGGGCTCCCGGCGACCAAACAAACTATAAGTAACTGGATTGTCCAGGCTATTACTGAGGCTTACAAGGTGCGTGGGGTTCCTTCACCTTTGGCCTTAAGGGCTCACTCGACTAGAGGCATGGCTTCCTCTAGGGCCCTTCTGTCGGGAGTACCTCTGCAGGAGATTTGTGAGGCAGCCGGCTGGGCTACCCCGCATACTTTCATCAGGTTTTACAGTCTCAGCCTTCCCAGTACGCCCGGTGCACACGTACTCGGCCCTTGCTGAGTGCCTAATCAGTTTCACTCTGGGGCGGGTCTGTTCGGTGCGTGGCCTAGTGGGTACTCGTTCCCCAAAGAGTCGATTTTATCGACGCAGTGTTGAGTTCCCTCGATAGGGAACGTCTCGGGTTATGACTATAACCCTTGTTCCCTGAGAAGGGAACGAGACACTGCGTCGTGTTGCCACGCCCCTTTTCAGACCCTTGAGCGTCTTGCTTCATCGCGAGGCTAGTGTGTGTTGTGACAGCGTCACTTTTATACTTCCGGGTATGCCGTCACATGTTACGTCACGACGCAACACCAATCAGGATTGGATTAGTTTCATTCATACTTCAGAGGCGCACGCTTAGGGAGCGTCCCCAAAGAGTCGATTTTATCGACGCAGTGTCTCGTTCCCTTCTCAGGGAACAAGGGTTATAGTCATAACCCGAGACGTTTTCCTTCTTACATCTAAGAGCGTAACATTTAGCACAAGTACTTCAAATGAATTAAACCTGTGACCTGTTTTCTGAGTAATATTCAAAATATCTTTATAGATTGTTGCAACACCGCCGCCACGACTGATCAGGCGAGGCTCATGTTTATAACAGTATCCTGGCGGAGTAGATTCATTTAGACCGAAATACTCATTTGGTTTAAGCCAGGTTTCAGTAAGGCACAGAACATCGAAATTATTATCTGTGACCATTTCATTTACAATAACCGCCTTAGGTGTGAGCAATCTAATGTTTAGGAGACCTAGCTTTAGAAATTGTTTTTGTTCACTGATATTTCGATTTTCTGGTTTAATTACAATAAATTACTGCACTAGATTTATTGTTTGGCTTCACTAAACGAGGAATAGACACAGTTTCTATATAATGTTCCACACTATGCTTATTTGGTTAAGTTTGGACCGCAAAGGCTGTGATTTGGACTTTGACTTACTAGTCATCTGGTCCGTAACGTCTTGGAGATGTTGTCCGACAGCACAGCAGCTCCGATTCTGCTGGGGTGGAGTCCTTCTGCACGGTACAGCCTGGCTCTGTCCTAAAACAGATGCCAATTATTTACAAAGAGCAGTTTCTGTTCATTACACAATGACATTAACCATTCATTTAATGCAAATAGTCTACTGAACCTTTCCTGTCCTTGTCTGTACGTGGGAAGCGGTCCAGACACGATGATCGTTGCTTTAGGCGCTGTGCTGCGTACCGTCTCGATCAGGCTCCTGTAGTCCTTCTTCAGAACCTCCGTCTGCCGCAGCCTGATGTCGTTCGCTCCCGCGTGCAGCACAACAGCTCCGACGCGTTCGTCCCCGTTCAGGATCTCGGGAACCTGTGCAGCAACATCAAGAACACGAGCACCAGGAAAGCAGTGAGTGCGCGCCTTACCTTTATCCGAGATAGCGCGGACATGACGGACCATGGATGTGCCGATGATCATGGCGTCGTCGCGTTCCGGCTCGCGAAGTGGGGAAAAGCGGTTCCGAGTGGAGATCTGTGGAGAGGAGAGGTAGCTCTGGTCCTGTCTCATGTCTTCCGCTGTGTGATCCATGGTCCATGTTGTTGTTTCGGTGCCGGAGTGAATGAAGCCCGAGATGATCGCGTCCTCCTGGGCAGAGGAACACACGGAGTAGACGAAGTGGGAGTCAAAGAGTTAACGTCACTAACCACTGATTTGTGAGCGTCGGCGCGTGATGTTTTAAGCGTTGAGCGCCGATCCAACAGCTCGGCTTGCTTCACCAGCAGACCACGGATCTGTTTCTCGACGTATTCCAGCTCCTGCTTCACCGTGAAGAGCTTGAATGTGTCTTCACCTGCACTCAGAGGTAACGTTAGACACGCATTTGATGTGTTCGCCATTATAACAGATGAACAGTAAATTAAATTAGTAGTGATAATACAAATATCACTACTAATTTAGTGATTTAGATGCCGGATATAACCCATATCCTTTCAGTGAAATGGGTGTAAAATGAGACGGCCAATAGGCGAGAGGCCACGCGTGGAAAGCTAGCGGGCTAAAATAGGGAAATGGGAGCAATCAGACATTTGTTAGACTGATTTCCTAATGGGACACGCTGACGGAATGGCTGATGTTCAAGTGGCCCGCACTTAACTCCTGCTCTCTAACCTCATAGTCGAAGCCCAATTTTGTATGGGGTGTGTCAAATATCGGCTCACTCGCAACATACTTGGTCTTCTCACTGTTTTATCCAAACACAAAATCATTCAAGTTTATGATTGAAGTCATTTGATTATCTATAGGTGTTTCTGAAACTTTTTTCACTTATGAACCAGGGGTTTATTTTATTAAAACAGATTTCAGCCATTAATAGATATTTATAAATATAATAATAGTAGACTAATCTACGTAATTTAAACCTGAACCAAACCAGTGTGTATTTGTGTGAAAATGATTCATATACAAAAATTTAACTTGTGACTGTCTCTCAAATATGACAATTTCCACCACACTGAACAAATATGTGACTTATGAAGATATTGTACTCATTTACCAAGGAGACCGTGTCAGTGAAGATCTTCAGATGAAATATGATGCATGTAATAAATTGAAAAATGTATCGTCAAGATCACTTAAATCACTTGTGAAATGAATATTTTTGTGTCATTTCCAACATAGCTACAATTTTGTTAAATGAATAAAAAATAGTTTAAATTAATAAATATTGTTATTTTTTAATGCTATCAGTTTGTCTTAGCCAGACAAATGGGTTTGTTATATATATATATATAATATATGATAAAAGAAAAAAAAAACATTTTTGGATCTATATTCATTGCATATTGATAGTGCCTAGCCTATAGATAGTTGAAGAAAAGTGGTAGAGATGCTCACCCCTGAAACCATATTGTTAGGCACAGATCACGGGAATAGCAAGAACAGACAGACACCACAAGGTGGCGCTATACATAAACACTGGCCCGCTGAAACCTTTCATATCTGAGTCACTTGACTTCAGATCAAGTAAATATCCTTTTATCACAGGCCAACACTGCTTTGAAATGAACTCACAAAGTGTTCTTTATATATTTGTTGGCTGCCTTTTTTGTTTTTGTTTTTGTGTAAAATATAACATTAGCTATATTGAACACACACATCTGCAAAAACCATAGACAGTAAAAGAAATGGACACAGCGACCCCGTTGATTTCAACGGAGAGAGCTGAAGCTCAACATGGGCACTCACTTCCTGATAGCCAAGCGTTCTGCGCAGGCTCAAACTGAGCTTGACGACGTAGATGTCACGTGAGCAAACTGACTGACTTATAGTAGCTGTGCCAAGAGAAATTTTAATTGTGCACAGAGACGGCGAAGCGCAACCTGGAGCAACTTTTGGTAAGTATTCTGATTAGTTATTTTGTCATTTTGCTTCTATGTATGCCATGGGCTGACTTTAGACAGTAAAAGATTGCCTGCGAGGCTGTGCGAGCTTCTCTTCCTGTCTATACGGTAATTCTCTACTGTGCGACGGACAGTCGAGTGGTTATGACGCAATTTTTAGCCTATTTTTACAAGAACGGCTTCTATGTGGCCATAACGTAACATACAAAGTAATGGAGCCTTTTATACATTGTCGTGTTTCTTTAGAAATAAGTAATGGATAAATGGAGTCTTTGGACGCCTCAGATGTAAAGTTATTCGCTGTCAAAGTGACGCCAAAATGAATGGGAGTCAATGGGATGCTAACAGCAGGTGATAGTACGCTACAAAAGCTTCCGGCTGATGGATTACCCCCTTGGCAAAAACCACCATCAGTCTTCATGGCGGTGTAATGAGTGGAAATAAGGTGTGGCCCCTTTAAGAGCTGCGAGCGTCCTCGAAGTCTGCACTCTTTCAGGATGCTAATCTAGCTAGTACAGTGTAGTTCGACTTTTTCCGTTTTCCTACACATTCACTGGGAACTACGATATAACTAAATATTAAATTACCATACCTCTCAATCTACAGATTTCCGCGTTTTTATCGTTGTATTTGTTGTAAGACCGTCACCTGTTTCACGGAGGAGCAGCAGCAGCAGCCAGCGCGCGCATCTCATTAGTAACCTGACCTGCATGGCCAAACGTCCTCTGAGCAGAAATCAGCTCTCACAGCCTCAGTACCATAGATAAAGGCTAGAAGTGTTACGGCGGAGTTTCCATCGTCATCACCGGCGGCCATCTTGCCACAGACAAGCTGATGTAAGATGAGTGGTCAGAACGAACACAAATACTCTTATCTCGTTGAAATCTTGATTTACAAACGGTTTGGTTTCTTACAAACGTTATTAACGTGGCTATAATTGTCTGGATGATTATTTATTTATACACTTTTTATAAGTATGCAGTGTCATAAATAACTACATGACATTTATAACAAAACAAACCGTTTGAAAATCGGTAGAAAATTGAGCAGGTTATGGTCATTTAAATAGTACATGTACCATTAACACAATGGCCCTCATTTATCATTCTTGCGTAGAAACGGGCGTATATGTTGGCGTAAGATTATGCACACTCCTCTCACCGCCTGATTTATGAAGCTGTGCGTACCTTTGAAATCCAGGTGTACGCAATGCCTGCCCTTGATAAATCCTGCGGCTGAAAAATGATTATCATTAGAATAACACGCCCCTAAATATTCAAGTCTCCGCTCCCCCCACGCCCTCATTTTACGGCATGGACACACGGAAGACGGCAAATAAGAGAAACTTCTCCGACTTTGAGCCGAAATGACCCATCACAATGCATTATTTTACAGCACGTCTGTTGAATCAGTATTCCATTTCGAATCACGTCACATGTATAATAGTGATGATGATGATGTGATGTGAAGTACCATTAATTCACATTAATAATTGCATGACAATTTGTAATATTCTTCTTCTTCTTCTTCTTCTTCTTAAATCATGTTTAATTTTGACTTCTCTCTGCATGCTTTTTGGTGGACCCCCTTAGCCTCCAGTGTATGACTGATAGACAACAACGGTTTGACTGAAAAATGTCAAAATTGAAAATACCGCGGAAACAAAGACACCTACATCTTGGATGCCCTTGAGGTAAGCTAAAACATATCAAAAATTATTTTCAAAGTGAACTATCCCTTTAAGGCACCTTGGGTGTTGTCCTCAAGAACATTGTTTCAAAAGGTTCCACCTTTTGACAACAATCTAATTTACTTCAGTGCTGTTCAAAAGGCATCCCATAAAGCACCTTATGAACTCGACTACCAGATTTTCAAGTTATTCAGAACACAACAAATTAACACAGAAACTTGTGCTTTATTGCTAGGAGATGCCTGTAAAATGAAAACAATCTGTTCTAAAATCAATTCAAATATCAAACATGTTTGATATCCTCCAACTGGATGGGATCAGAGTTTGAAGCTAAAGAAATGGGTGTCTGTGCCCATCATACACTAAATCTGTCAACTCTGACTGCTCAAAATCTGTAGACTGGCTCTGATTTTCGGCAACTAGCATCAACCAGGCTATAAATCAGGCAATAGTCGTTTAGGGCTAGGCAAACTTCGCAGCTACATGTCAACTAACTTTCATTAGAGTACTAGTAGACTGTCTGCTTAGTATTTGCTAACACTTTATTTTGTTGGTCCCCCAATAGACATCTATAATCTACTGACTATAAGGCCCCGTCCACACTACTGCGTTTTCGTTTAAAAACGGAGAATTAAAACGAATACGATCTCCGTCCACACCAGCGTTTTATCTGCGTATTAGAATTGATCTCCGTCCACATTAAAACGACTGAAAACGCAGATCACGTGACCATTCACCAACATTGGGCATGCGCGTGCCGGTGTAAACAGTGGTTGGCGAATCAGGGAAGGACACGTCATGACTGATAACACCCAATCATAGAGCCGAGCGTGAGCCTCTGCGTCATCGTTTGTAAACTCCTCCGTTTTGTCTCGTCCACACTAAAACGCCCTCCGGAGATTCAAAACGCAGCTGCAGCGTTTCTAAACTTCTCCGTTTTAGGTCTTCGTTTTTAGTGTGGACGGGAGGTGCAAACATAGCAAAAGGTCTCCTTTTTTAAACGAAAACGCAGTAGTGTGGACGGGGCCTAAGTAACTTGGCAACTACAAGTCAATTTATTCTACTAATCCGAATCCTAACACCAAACCGTAACCTAACAGTTCTACTGAAAGTTTACTACAGTGTACTAATACTAGTTAGTTAAAGGGTTAGTTCACTCAAAAATGAAAATTAAGTCATTAATTACTCACCCCCATGCTGTACCAACCCCGTAAGACATTCGTTCGTCTTCGGAACACAAATGAAGATATTTCTGATTAAATTTGAGAGCTTTATCACTACCACATAGACTTCCGGGATTGGCTCTTGACGGCCCAGAAAGTCAATGAAGAAAATGTTTAAATATTCCATGTGACTACAGTGGCTCAACTATAAGTTTATCAAGCGACGAGAATACTTTTTGTGCGAAAAAACAAAAAAAAATTACGACTTTATTCGACTATTAATTTCCTTCCTTGTAGGCCTGAGACGAGAGTCTTGCGCATGCGTCGTGGAAATCTCTTGAAGTCTTGTTTCAGGCCAACAAGGAAGAAAAGGAATAGTCGAATAAAGTCGTTATTTTTGTTTGTTTTTTCGCACAAAAAGTATTCTCGTCGCTTGATAAACTTATAGTTGAGCCACTGTAGTCACATGGAATATTTAAACATTTTCTTCATTGACTTTCTGGACCGTCAAGTGTCATTCCCTTAGGCAGCCTTTGTGGCAGTGATCCACCTCTCAAATTTAATCAGAAATATCTTCATTTGTGTTCCGAAGATGAACGAAGGACTTGCGGGGTTGGTACAGCATGGGGGTGAGTAATTAATTACTTACTTTTCATTTTTGAGTGAACTAACCCTTTAACATGTAGTAGTAAAGTTACTATAGTTATTAGACTGTCTAAAGTTAACTATCAAAATAAGGTGGAACCAAAAAGTATTTACTCTATTTTACTCTAAAAACTATTTAATTTATTTTAATTACTAATTACTTTCAAAATCCCATATCAATCTCAACCAGCTGAATAATACAAGGATAGACATGAATCTGTTTTAATTCTTTCAAATAAATACTATAAAATTGCATGAATTATCCTTAAACTGACCAAGGTGGAGAAGGTTACATTATAAAAACATACTTTTTAGCATCAGACAATACTTTTGATGTTAAACCCACTATTGTTTTATGTCTGATCTAATGACATTTCACACTTTTTTCATACATATTTTACAATAATTCATATGAATTTGTATTAACTAAGGGTAGTACTCCCCTTGTTAGGGTCATGATTAGAGTGCTTTTGCTACCCACAGCTTTAGTTTATTCACCCTGCACTACTCTCTCCCAATTGGGTCGGTTTGAGTACACTCTCTTAGAGCCTATAGCACTGCCATGGGCTGCCGCTCTTGACAATTAAAGCTGTAGGTCTTTCTACAGGCCTCCTTGTTAGTACTTCTGCAAACTAAGTAAACTAAGTAAATGTAAACTAGGAAAACCAGGCCCACAGAATTTCTGTGAGAGCACCTAATATGTCTGAGGTTAGTTCTGCTAACAAGTATCACTATCAAGTAGTCAGGCCCTCACAGGCCTCCTTGAAGGCCAACGAGTTGGATGTCCAGAGTTGTTGTATGTACACTGTTGTACACTGATATATTTGAAGATTGTTAATTAATTAATAAACTGAACAGCCGAGTAATGACTCTACTGTCTTATCTGAATCTTACAGAATTAAATCATTTTCATCAATGATTGTCACTGTAAAACTGCTTTGAAGTAACCTGTATGTATTATAACCTACAACCTATATATTATAAATCATGATGATTGTCTTTTAAAAACAAAAATTGCTTTTAGTTTTTGTTAGTTATATTTACTTTTTCATTATTAAGATATAGCTGCTTATACAAAGTAAGACACCAATGAAACATACACACAAGTACAAATAAAGGGGAGGACAAAAACAGCAAAACATAGAGATGTATAGATATACAAAATTTTTATTCAATAATAATAATAATAATTAATTATTTACATATGGCACATTTCAGACACAAAATGTTGTTCTAAGTGCTTTACATGATTAATTGCACAGATGAATATCAACAGCAAAAAACCTGCATTACACAATCTTAAAGTTGGTGGAATATAATTAATGTGAGAGTAAAAAGTGCATTACAATAATCGAGCCTCCTTGAGATAAGAGCATGAATTCATTTTTCTGGCATGAAGAGCATGAATTAATCTTTCTAGTTAAAAAAAAAGGAACAATTTTAGCTATGTTTTCTAAGTTGAGTTCAATTGGCTTCACAGAAAGGTTACACTTTATTTGGATAGTCACTAATTATAAGTAACTTTTCAACTACATGCCAACTAACTGTCATTAGAGTATTAGTATATTATAGTAGACTGTCAGTAGACTGTTAGGTTATGTTTATGTGTTAGGCTTTGGGTTAGAATAAGTTTACTTGTAGTCGCCAAGTTACTTACAGTCAGTTGAGTATCTGTTGGGGGACCAACAAAATAAAGTGTTAAAGGGTTAGTTCACCCAAAAATGAAAATTCTGTCAGTATTTACTCACCCTCATGTTGTTCCAACCCCGTAAGACCTTCGTTCATCTTCGGAACACAAATTAAGATATTTAAGATATTAAGATCGCTCCTGCATACAGTCCATAGGCTTCTTGAGGGACTGGCTCTTGCTGTCCTCGAAAAGTCATTAAAGACATCGTTAAAATAGTCCAAGTGACTACAGGGGCTCAATCTTAAGTTTATCAAACGACGAGAACACTTTTGTGCGCAAAAAACAACAAAAATAACGACTTTATTTCAACTATTCGTTTATTTCTCCCTCTGCGCGAGTCAGGTTACTAGTTTAATAGCGTAAGCTTCTGTTATTGTACGTCACACGCATCTCACACACACATGACCAGCGTCGGCCAATAGTAAGCCTACGTGTGACGTAGCTCTACGCAATCACACTACGTTAACTGACTTACAGGCTCATGGAGAAGGAAGTGAATAGTTGAAATAAAGTCGTTATTTTTGTTGTTTTTTTGCGCACAAAAGTGTTCTCGTCGTTTGATAAACTTAAGATTGAGCCCCTGTAGTCACTTGGACTATTTTAACGATGTCTTTAATGACTTTTCGAGGACAGCAAGAGCCAGTCCCTCAAGAAGCCTATGGACTGTATGCAGGAGCGATCTTAATATCTTAAATATCTTAATTTGTGTTCCGAAGATGAACGAAGGTCTTACGGGGTTGGAACAACATGAGGGTGAGTAAATACTGACAGAATTTTCATTTTTGGGTGAACTAACCCTTTAACACTTTATTTTGTTGGTCCCCCAACAGATACTCAACTGACTGTAAGTAACTTGGCGACTACAAGTAAACTTATTCTAACCCAAAGCCTAACACATAAACATAACCTAACAGTCTACTGACAGTCTACTATAATATACTAATACTCTAATGACAGTTAGTTGACATGTACTTGAAAAGTTACTTATAATTAGTAGAATATCTAAAGTGGACTATCGAAATAAAGTGTTACCTATTTTTTATATATACATTAAAAAATGTTTTATATATTATTATTATTATTATTATTATTTATATATATATATATATATATCTTTTTAAAGTACATACACAATGTTATATTCTCCCACCTCCACCCCCCCCTCTTCGGAGGACAACTTTTATTTATTTATTTATTTAATTTTTATTTTTTTATATATATTATTACATATATATGTTATATTCTCCCACCTCCACCCCCCCTCTTCGGAGGACAACTTATTTATTTATTTAATTATTATATATATATATATATATATATATATATATATATATATTGTTACATATATATGTTTTATTCTCCCACCTCCACCCCCCCCCCTCTTTGGAGGACAACTTTATTTATGTAATTATTTTTTTTTATATATATATTATTACATATATATGTTATATTCTCCCGCAACAATAATATATATATATATATATATATATATATATATATATATATATATATATATATTATATTCTCCCACCTCCACCCCCCTCTTCGGAGGACAACTTTTATTTATTTATTTATTTAATTAATTATTATTAATTGTATATATATTATTACATATATATGTTATATTCTCCCACCTACACCCACCACCCCCCCCCCCCCCCCTCTTCGGAGGACAACTTTATTTATTTATTTAATTATATATATATATTATTACATATATATATATATATATATATATATATATATATATGTTATGATCTCCCACCTCCACCCCCCCTCTTCGGAGGACAACTTTTATTTATTTATTTATTTAATTATTATTAATTGTATATATATTATTACATATATATGTTATATTCTCCCACCTCCACCCCCCCTCTTCGGAGGACAACTTTTAGTTATTTATTTATTTAATTATTATTTTTTTATATATATTATTACATATATATGTTATATTCTCCCACTTCCACCCCCCACCCCCCCCCCTCTTCGGAGGACAACTTTTATTTATTTATTTATTTAATTATTATTAATTGTGTATATATATTATTACATATATGTGTTATATTCTCCCTCCACCCCCTCTTCGGAGGACAACTTATTTATTTATTTAATTATTATTTTTTATATATATATATATATTGTTACATATATATGTTATATTCTCCCACTTCCACCCCCACCCCCCCCCTCTTCGGAGGACAACTTTTATTTATTTATTTATTTAATTATTATTAATTGTGTATATATATTTATTACATATATGTGTTATATTCTCCCTCCACCCCCCCTCTTTGGAGGACAACTTTATTTATGTAATTATTATTTTTTTTATATATATATTATTACATATATATGTTATATTCTCCCGCAACAATAATATATATATATATATATATATATATTATTACATATATATGTTATATTCTCCCACCTCCACCCCCCCTCTTCGGAGGACAACTTTTATTTATTTATTTATTTAATTTTTATTTTTTTATATATATATATATATATATATATATATATATATATATATTGTTACATATATATGTTTTATTCTCCCACCTCCACCCCCCCCCCTTCTTTGGAGGACAACTTTATTTATGTAATTATTATTTTTTTATATATATTACTACATATATATGTTATATTCTCCCACCTCCACCCCCCCCCCCCTCTTCGGAGGACAACTTTATTTATTTATTTATTTAATTATTATTTTTATATATATATATATATATATATATTGTTACATATATATGTTTTATTCTATCCCACCCCCCCCCCCGCCCTTCTTTGGAGGACAACTTTATTTATGTAATTATTATTTTTTTATATATATTATTACATATATATGTTATATTCTCCCACCTCCACCCCCCCTCTTCGGAGGACAACTTTTATTTATTTATTTATTTATTTAATTATTTTTTTATATATATATATATTATTACATATATATGTTATACTCTCCCACCCTCCCACCCCTCCCCCCAACTTTATTTATTTAGTAATTTAATTATTATTATTTATATATATATATATATATATATATATATATATATATATATATTCTCCCACCTCCACCCCCCCTCTTCGGAGGACAACTTTATTTATTTATATATATATATATATATATATATATATATATATATATATATATATATATATTTCAGACACTGTAATATCTTTTTAAAGTACATACACAATATGTTATATTCTCCCACCTCCACCCCCCCTCTTCGGAGGAGAACTTTATTTATTTATTATATATTATTACGTATATATTTTTTATATATATTATTATATTTTTTGGTTACACTTTATTTCGATAGTCACTTTAGACGTTCTACTAATTATAAGTAAGTTTTCAACTACATGCCAACTAACTTTTGAGGACAACTTTACTTATTTATTATTTTATATATAAATATATATATATATATATATATATATATATTTAATTACGAAATAAAGTGTTACTGAAGTAGAATTGAGACCTTATTTTTGATCAGAGTTTATTCTGGCATAACTAATTATTTTTGTAAGGGCAGTTTCCTGTACTGTGATGAGCTCTAAAGCCAGACTGAAATTCCTCCATAATGTGATTTTATTTTATTTTAATTTAATGTATTTTATTTTTTTGGTGCTGCAACTTTGAGGAGACAGTAACTGCTAACCCACCACCCTTCCTATTTTGTCTAACCGCCTGATAAAAACAAGTTAACTTAACAAGTTTAAGATTGTGTATTCGTGTTGATTTATAATTGTTACAGTTTGTTTGACCATGCCACCTTCTATTTGTAGTCACTGGTATATTTGTGGAAATGACATTGAATCGGTCTCATCTCTGGTGGGTACGTGAATAATGATGTCTCTAACGATCAGATTGACTTGACTTCTGCGTTGTGGCTATGGCTAACTCTTGGTGTACATCCTATACTAAACTTGGTGACATGGATAAGTAAGAGAAGGATGGAAATATGGTTGTGATGACTTCTTTCCAGTCTTGCAGTCTCTCATGCTCACAGGTTCTGAGCTCTCTGGTGTGGCGGCTTGAGTTCCCTGTCGAGTCGAGGCTGGATTTCGGGCTTCGGGTCACGTCACGAGCTCAAGCCCTGCACCAAGGACCGCAAGTGTGTTATTTCCTATCCAAAACAAAATTATATGAACATGTCAACTCATAAACGTTTAGAGCTGCTTTACAGCAGAACTGAATTCTGTTTGCTTTAATGATTCTGTTATTTTTTAATTCATGATATTGAAGCTGCTTTAAAACAATCTGTATTGTATAAAGCGCTATATAAATGAAGCTGACTAGACTATGACAAGCACATAAAATTAACTTGGTCACACACTACAATAAATGTGAAAATCCTCAAAAAATTTGAAGATAACTGTCTGGTAATAACCCTATATACTGTCCATTACTCTTCCTCACACCTGAAATCACCAAGCAAGTGAATCTCCTGAACTTCTCCAATCTACAAGAAGATCATTTCTAATCCATTCATGTTGTAGCATCTGCTCTAACGTCGGCCGTTTATTTGGATCCTTTGTTAGGCACTGGATAATCAGATCTCTGCATTCTGTACACATTTTAATAAGGAGAGAGGTGGTTAGTCATGACCATGTGACTTAGCATCTAAACATGATTCATGTAAGGTAAAATGTTCTTTATCTTTACTTTAAAGGTGAAGTATGCAGTCTTTGCGTCAAAAAACTCAAACATCACAAATGCAAGTTTTACTGGTTCGAAAAAAATCTTACATGCGTACTTCACCTTCAACTGTTTCTGTACAGAGCCTTTGCTTTATGTGTGTATTAATCAAAGAAATCGGAATTCTTCTCTCACCTTTGGATAAATTGGAGTTCTCAAATATAACTTCACCTTGTGTGATATCCGTTCTACCGAAAAACGGAGAACATGCATTCACCATCTCGTATAACAACACTCCAAGACTCCAGACATTTGTAGGAATGGCGTGGAATCTCGGTCCTGTGTAGGCTTCAGGTGGGCAGCTATCCGGTAGTCCTGTAAGCAAAACATTTGCGCATTATTGAGCTTTTTATTTAAAATAAGTCACTACATTCAGGTTTTTACACTGCTAAAATGCTCACCGAGGTATTTACTGCTCTCGTAGCCGTCACTACTAAGAAGCTGACCGCAGCCAAAGTCTATGAGCTTGACCTCTAAATTGTTTTTCATCAACAGGAAGTTGTCCGCATGAACGTCATTATGAAAAACGCCACGCTCGATGCAGTGTTGTACTGCCAGCACCGCCTGTCGCATGATGACCCGAGCCGTTGTTTCATGCAGTGTAGAGTTACGTCTGATGAAATCCAGCAAGCTCTCGCATGGTTCAGGGTACTCCATAACGAGGGTGAATTTTTCAGGGTGTTCAAACCACTCGTACAGCTGTATGATGTACGGGCTTCTGGGTTCCTGCCTCATCAGCAGCAGCAGCGCCACTTCTGTAACCAGAGGTTCGGGATGCCCAGGCTAGAGAAAAGTAGCAGACAGAAGGTTAGCTGGGTACAAATCTGAAGAAAACACATCATGTACTTTTCTTTTATCTCTGTAGATTCAGAGCCATTGTAGCCCAAAGTTATTTGTTGCTTCTACGCTTATTTGTCTATAAATTTTACAGCTAATGCTTCCAACAGGTGTATTAACTACAGTAATCAGCACTTAAACAGGGTTTAGCCAACTTACAATAACAAGATAACGATTGTTGTCTATCTTGTTGATCTCTTTGATGGCAACCTGCAAAAAAAAAAAAAAAAAAAAATGTTTCAGTAACAGTATTCAGGCACCTGACCTTGCACTAGGTATTAAACCATCTGTAAATTGTTTTGATGCATGCAAGAGCAAAACGTTTGTACAGTTCCGTAATTCACCTTTTTGCCATCAAACTTCCGCGTACCCTTGAACACCCTGCCAAATCCTCCGGATCCAATCATCTCTCCTATATTGAAGAGAGACTCAAACGACTCTGGAAAAACAAACAGAATATGATAAATATATGAGCATGCTAGATCCTTTTAATAAATAATAGTTGGTTACACTTTATTTTAAGCTGATGTACTTGCATTGTACTTCCTCAAATAAGTCATATGAATTAACTACATGTACTTACTATCCTATGGCGTTACTGTAATTATGCATCATTTACAGTTATTATAGTAAGTAGATGTAGTACATACGTCACCTTTAAATAAAGTGTTACCGGTAGAACTTTATTTTACAGTCCAGTTTCCATGTACAATGTACATATTACAGTAATTACAATAACTACGTACTAACCCTGAACCTCCACCTAAACCTAACCTTAACCTCTTGAAGTAACCTTGCATTATACTGTATTAATATGGGGAAAGTAATATTAATATTTGCTGAAAACAAGCCTAAAGATATTTTTAGTGGAAAACAAGATGACAATACTGTTTAAAATAATGTTCAAGAAATAATGACTGTGGATTCACCATTGTTTGGCTTGACGGCGGAGTGATCTGGATCAGGCTCTGGGTCCAGATCTGCTGGAGGGGCGAAAGGCTCCACATCATCCACAGCACTACAGTGACAGCAGCAGCCGAAACGATGTCTCATAGCCTTCCACACCCTCCTGAGGAAACCTCGAATTCCTTTCCTCTTCCTACATAGTGTAGGTTTTCCTGAAATGAAGAAAAACAATTGAAAAGACATTTTTTAGAAACATCTCTAACCTCAAATTAAACAATGACAAAATGACACTCAACTTTTACTGTTCGATTCTTATCTGTAATGTTACAAATCAAAATAATGCACATATATTATACGACGGCCCAGTTTCTGCTTAATGCCTGCATCAATGTCCCAAAGTCTTATTTCACAATATTAATTAATAACATCCAGTTTTTTTTTTTTTTTTCAATGTGTTATTTTTTTTCTTCTTCTTGATAAATGTTAAGGGGAACAATCCCTTTTATAATTTTGCTAATATTATGGGAATGTGACTTTTGATTGTTCTCTGAATGTTCTGAAACATAAATATATGTTAGATGAACGTCCAACTAAAACATTTTGGATAAGGAAAAATCGTAAAGAAAATTTCAGCTAAATATTGCTGAGCAATGGTAAATATGACCAGACCTTAACCTGTTAAAAACTTGAAGCAGCAAAATCTCTGTCAGTACACTTTACACCTCCCAGCCTTATTTCAATCTCACCTGTTGAGCTCCTGTTCGCAGGAGACGCCTCCACGGCACCCTGAGCTGTTGGGCCAGTTGAGGTCACTGTTGGCTCCACAGGAACTTGACCTGGCAGTGGAGGGCACATGAACTCATCATCTGGGCTCAGCTGGCTCCTGCTCTGCCACTTCCTCATGTGAGCCTGCTCTGTAAACACAGAAGAACCAGAAGACCCAGAAGACAGAGGAGGTAAATCAACAGAACTGAGACCCCAAACCTCCAGACCAGCCGTCTGAGTGGAAGAAGGTCCCCTCGTTCTGGAGCAGCCTGAGCCTGCAATATTTCAGACATCACATAGTTAGTTATGTTTTAAAAATAATCAATGATCAATGTCAGTGGTCAATTACAAATTATTACTATAGTTACTCAAATTGAAAGGGAATCTAATAGGCCTGGAAATTGGCGGATCAAATGGGTTGCATCGTAGGCTACAAGTTTCTGCACATTAATTTAGTCCATCATCACACCATTTTAACATATAACTACCATAAACAAATGAATAACTTCACTCACCATCTCTTTCACCCATGTGAGCCATCATTGTCCTGCAATAGAAACGATAAGTTAGACAATACAATTCAAAAAATATATATATAAAATTCAAACCTTATCAGAAATACTCCCAAAATAAATCAATAAAATAAATAAATCAAAACAAAAGTAATAGATAAAAGTGTCCTCAGAAATAATATATGAGAATAAAAAAGAAAGGATATATCCTCCGATCTACTCCTTCTAGGATAACGTCGTCCTCCAACCTGCAATAAAAACAATGCAAAATACAATCAAAAGAAAAAATGAAAAAAAAAAAAATGAATAAAATAAAATAAAAATCCCCTGAGAAATAGTGCCCCCCTCCCCAAAAAACTAAAAAAATAAATTAATACAACAAAAAATAATCAAATCAAACACAAAATTAAATAAAACTCCAACTCCTAATATAAAACAAGAAACAAACAATGAGATAAAAGTGTCCTTAGAAATAATATGAACTATTTTTTAAAAATAAAACTAATAAAGGATATCTGTTACGAACTGCTCCGAGACTGGGAGATGTAGATCCAAATGCAGCTTTATTAAGAATAGTCGTACAGGCAGGGTCGAGAATCAGCAGACAGGACAATGGAGAATACACAATGGGAATCCAAGAAGCAGGCAGAGGTCAGGGCAGGCAGCAATAGTCAAAATCCAAGAACAATCCAAAAGTCAAAAAACCAGAAAACAAACACAGAAAATGCTCAGAAATGCAGACAAACAGTACAACAAACACTGGATCGGGAGCAGACACTGGATCGGCCATCTTGTCCGGAGACACTGGATCGGCCATCTTGTCCGGAGACACTGGATCGGCCATCTTGTCCGGAGACACTGGATCGGCCATCTTTTCCGGAGACACTGGATCGGCCATCTTGTCCCTAAACAGTGGCTTGGAGGCGGTGACGTGAACTGTCTCTAAATTGGCAGAAGTAACATGAACAGTCTCTGAATATGCCATCTTCTCTATAGACACTGGCTTGGAGGCGGCCATCTTATCCGTAGACACTGGCTCGGAGGCGGCATCTTGTGCGTAGACACTGGCTCGGAGGCGGCCATCTTGTGCGTAGACACTGGCTCGGAGGCGGCCATCTTGTGCGTAGACACTGGCTCGGAGGCGGCCATCTTGTCCGTAGACACTGGCTCGGAGGCGGCCATCTTGTCCGTAGACACTGGCTCGGAGACGCGAAGCGTCTCTGGCTCGGCAGAAGTGACGTGAACAGGCTCAGACTCGGCAGGGCTGACATGGAACTCAGGCTGGGCTGTCTCGGCGGGACGTGACTCTGGCTGGGCTGTCTCGGCGGGACGAGACTCTGGCTGGGCTGTCTCGGCGGGACGAGACTCTGGCTGGGCTGTCTCGGCGGGACGAGACTCTGGCTGGGCTGTCTCGGCGGGACGAGACTCTGGCTGGGCTGTCTCGGCGGGACGAGACTCTGGCTGGGCTGTCTCGGCGGGACGAGACTCTGGCTGGGCTGTCTCGGCGGGACGAGACTCTGGCTGGGCTGTCTCGGCGGGACGAGACTCTGGCTGGGCGGAAGTGACGTGAAGCGTCTCTGGCTCGGCAGAAGTGACTTGAAGCGTCTCTGGCTCGGCAGAAGTGACTTGAAGCGTCTCTGGCTCGGCAGAGGTGACTTGAAGCGTCTCTGGCTCCGCAGAGGTGACGTGAAGCGTCTTTGGCTGGACGGTCTGGACGGTCTCTGGCTGGACGGTCTCTCGCTGGACGGTCTGGACGGTCTCGGGCTGGACGGTCTCTCGCTGGACGGTCTTCTTGGCCCTCCGGACTGACATCAGCGGCGGCTGTGTCACGGTGGACATCAGTCCTGGACACCCATAAACGGATGACATGGCTGGCTTGACGGCTGAAGTAACGAGAAGATTCTCAGGCAGTGCGGTTGTGATAACCTCCTCCTCCACCTTCCCTACGGTGAAGGTGGATCCACAAAACTCCAGGACAAAGTCAATATACTGTGCCAGGGTCCAGCTGGGGTCTTCCTCTGGTAAATTTATCCTAATGTCCTGGTCTAGTCCACTCCAGAAACAATCTTTCATCATTGAATCATCACCGGGAACAAGATGACTATAAAAAAGAAACTCCTCCACATACTCCTCAATGATGCGATTGAACTGATAAATACTACACAATTCTCTCAGCGGATCCTGAATGGTACCTGTTAGACTCATGTTGGTCAACGGTGCTGCTGGATCTCAGTGTGGCGAAGTCTTCTGTTACGAACTGCTCTGAGGCTTGTAGATGAGATCCAAACGCAGCTTTATTTGAGGGCAATCCAGAGGCGTAATCCAATGTACAGGCAAGGGTCATACACAGATAGGCAGTCCAAGACAGATACACAGAGAAACAAACAAAACAGGCAGGGACCAGAGGCAAGAGAGTAATCCAGGGAACAGGGCAAGATATCCAAAAACCAAGAGACAAGAAAACCGTAGAATGCTCAGAATTGCAGTGTAACACTAAAACAAGACTTCGCGGTGAGTGACTGAATGAACATGGTATATATAGCCAGACTAACAAGATGAGACAGGTGAATGCAATAGTGAATGAGGTACAGGTGAATGTGATCAGTGATGATGAGTCCGGGCAGTGAGTTCTGGGAAATGTAGTTTGTGTGAAACATAGTCTTATCTGGAGTGCCCTCTGGTGGCTCAAGAGGACACTCCAGCTGGTAACCGTTACATATATATATATATATATATATATATATATAAAAAAATAATAATTAAATAAATAAATAAATAAAGTTGTCCTCCGAAGAGGGGGGGGGGGGGTGGAGGTGGGAGAATATAACATATATATGTAGTAATATATATAAAAAAATAATAATTACATAAATAAAGTTGTCCTCCAAAGAAGGGGGGGGGGTGGAGGTGGGAGAATAAAACATATATATGTAACAATATATATATATATATATATATATATATATATAAAAAAATAAAAATTAAATAAATAAATAAATAAAAGTTGTCCTCCGAAGAGGGGGGTGGAGGTGGGAGAATATAACATATATATGTAACAATATATATATATATATAAAAAATAATAATTAAATAAATAAATAAGTTGTCCTCCGAAGAGGGGGGGTGGAGGGAGAATATAACACATATATGTAATAATATATATACACAATTAATAATAATTAAATAAATAAATAAATAAAAGTTGTCCTCCGAAGAGGGGGGGGGGGGGGGGGTGGAAGTGGGAGAATATAACATATATATGTAATAATATATATAAAAAAATAATAATTAAATAAATAAATAAATAAAAGTTGTCCTCCGAAGAGGGGGGGTGGAGGTGGGAGAATATAACATATATA